GTTGAGCTTTCATATACTTATAGCTCTAGTGCATCCGTTGCATGGCAATCCCTACTCACTCACATTGATATCTATTGATGGGCATCTCCATAGCCCGTTGATATGCCTAGTTGATGTGAGACTATCTTCTCTCCTTTTGTCTTCTCCACAACCACCATTCTATTCCACATATAGTGCTATATCCATGGCTCACACTCATGTATTGCGTGAAGATTGAAAAAGTTTTGAAAATGTTAAAGTATGAAACAATTGCTTGGCTTGTCATCGGGGTTGTGCATGATTTAAATACTTTGTGTGGGGAAGACGGAGCATAGCCAGACTATATGATTTTGTAGGGATAACTTTCTTTGGCCATGTTATTTTGAGAAGACATGATTGCTCTGCAAGTGATAAGGCTTCTCTACATGCCATGCATTCAAGAATCGCTATGTCCTGCATCCCTTCAATCACCAATGCTGAGCTTCCCAGGTAATTTCCCTGTTCATCGCGACAGACAGCCACCGCCGCCCCTCTTCCATAGCGTTTAGATACCCCCGCGTCGACATGGATTTTGACGAATCCTGTCGGCGGTGCCATTGGCCTTACACTGCCTGTTGCTGCTGTCCTGGGTGCTGCTGCTCTCGGTGTTGCATGTTATTGCTCTTTGACTATCTCCAGCTCAACTAGATAGCGATTAATGAATGCGTGGGTCGCGTGGGGGCTCTAGAAAATGCCTTCGTGAATTGCCTTTCTCCCCGCTATCCACGTTGCCCACAGTGTTACCGCCAGTTTCACAAAAGCCTCATGCGATAATGATCGTATTAATGAAAACAGCCACTGTTTAGCGCTCAGCTCGCTTGATTCCATCAACTGGTCCGCTAACTCCTCATCCGCCAGTGCCCAGACGCACCTGGACATAGAGCAGTCCAGAAGAGAGTGCCTCCAAGAATCATGTGCACCACACAATCCGCACGAACTTGAAGTCGCCATGTTTCGATGTTCCCTGACATCCTCCGTGGGTAATGAGTGCCTCGCAAGTCGCCATAGGAACATCCTTATTTTCCCCGGGACGCTGACATGCCATATGGACTTCCACGAACTCTTTTCTTGCTGCATATTTGAAGCTCCTGCTGTCCCTTCGAGCCATGCTTCTCTTCTTTGCTTTGTTGCTATTAACATCTTATACGCGGAACGTACTGAGAAGGCGCCATTCTTTTCAAAATTCCAGCACCAGCAGTCTGGAAGATTCATAGTGCATAGCGGGATGCTAAGAACATGAGGTATATCTATGGGCAAAAGAACTTCTCTGATCCCTCAATATTCCAGCACGCCACCGTAGCGTTTATTAATTCAGAAACATTTTCTGGGGGGTTTGCAACTCTGCTTCTATAAGGTCTCAGGAATTCATCTCCTGGGATCCAATTATCATTCCAAATATTAGTGCTTGCACCATTGCCAATCCTTCTAATTAGACCTTGTTTCAATATATCTCTTCCTTCGACTATTGCCCTCCAGATTTGGCTCGGGTGGCTGCCGATGTTGGCTTCTAGTATTGTTGTATTTGGGAAGTAAACTCCTTTCAAGATTCGGGAGCTCAGAGCGTCTGGATTTTTCAGAATCCGCCATGCCTGCCTAGCAAGCAAGGCTAGGTTAAAAAGCTTGAAGTCCTTAAACCCTAATCCTCCCATATCTTTGGGTTGCGTCATATCCTTCCAGGATACCCAGTTTGGCTTTCGCTTGCCATCTCTACTCCCCCACCAAAACTTGCGGAGTAGCATGTTCAAGTGTTCACATAGCCCCCGCGGCAATTTGAAGCAAGACATTGAAAAAACTGGGATAACCTGCGCAACAGACTTGACCAACACTTCTTTACCTGCCGTGGACATGGTTTTCTCTATCCACCCTTGGATCTTGTTCCACAAACGGTCCTTGAGATATTTAAAGGCCCCATTCCGTGACGAGCCCACATCCGATGGCATGCCGAGATATTTCTCATTAAGTGTCTCCTTGGGTACATGTAGTAACTCTTTTAATTTTGAGAAATCTTCAATATTTTTTTTCAAACCTGGATCTCCAGGACCGAAGCAGGATGCTCTATCCACTGGGCCATCTCAATCCTTCTAGAGGAAAGTATCATTTTCCCCCTGAAATCCTCTGCAATGGACCAATTTCCCCCTCAACTCTAATACTGGATCAATCAGCCCCTCAAATCTGTAAAACCGGATCAATTCTCCCCTAAGGTGGTTTCAGACTTGATTTGGAGTGGTTTTCACCCATACCATGCATTTCTCTGGATTGACCGTGCACTTCACTTCATAACAGTTTGGGTGGAGATGACTGCTTCAGTGCGTCGAGCTCGCCTCCGTGGCCGGCATGCTCGCCGCTCGTTGTCTTCTTGGTCTCCACCAGGCTGCCGCTGATGTACTCCCACCCGATACCTACAACGTCGTGCCGCTGCTCAGGTCCAACCGCCCGCAAGGGAACCGCTCTGTGTGCCTCGCACCACCCGGATTGGTGCCCCGCTTGGACGTCGTAGAAGATGAGCTGCATCAGCATCGTGGACGCGCGCATCCGGCGGCCCGCTATCACGCCCTTGTGCCAGGCTTGCATCCTCTTCCTCCGGCAAGCGGCGATGGTGTTCGAGGTGGCAGCCTTGCGGGCATCATTTTGATGAGCGTCTCCAGCGTGTCGGGGTTGTTGGACGACGGCGGCGACGAGATCTTGTCGGCTCCGAGCTCTGTCATAGGCTGTTGCGGCGGAGACGGCTCGGGGCCCCGGTGCCGGCCGCATTTTCTCGCCGGTCTGCGTGGCCGCTGCGCGCGGTGGCCACTCAGTACTGGCCGAGGTTGAAGCAGCTCTAGTTCTTGCGCCGACCGTGAGCCCTGCTAATGGCCGCTTTGGGCAGCTTGTTCTCGTTCCCGGCCTGGCAGCTCGAGGTGGAGGAGGACGAGGATGAGCAGGCAAAGGCGTCGCGCGGGTAGGCTGGCGCGGGAAGGAGGCGGAGCAGCTCGGAGCCCTTGAGCACGTACTCGACGCCGCTGGCAGGTGCACGGGATCGTTGGCGGTGAGTCGTGCCAGACGTAGCCGGTCTTGTAACTCTGCTTGGAGGACCAAGAGTAGGCGTCTGCCATGCCAGCGCCCCGGAGCACAGTCAGCCTAGTCAACGAGTCCAGTCAGCGAGAAGTGCACGGTCTGGGTCCAAACCACTCAAAATCAAGTCCAAAACCACCATAGGGGGAATCGATCCGGTTTTAAAGATTTGAGGGGCTGATTGATCCGGTATTAGAGTTGAGGGGAAAATTGGTCCATTAGAAAGGATTTCAGGGGGAAAACGATACTTTCCTCATCCTTCTACTATAAAATAGTGGGATTTTACAGTATTGTAATGGACCAATTACAATGCCGGGCCGGCCCGTTTGGCCAGCTCTAGTAGTCATTGGATGGGAAGACGGGACACGTGGGCGCATCTAGGCAAGGGTATGCACGGGATCGAGTTGGCTACCGGCATCCAAGAATTTTTTTTCCCTCCCCGCGCCAGACCTAGCGATGACTCCTCCCCGCGGCGAGAAGCTTCAGGCGGCGGCGGCGGCGCAGGTAGGGTTTTCCCACTCCCTGGCCCTCATCCTCCCCGTCCTCTCTACGCCGGCTGCGGATCTTTAACCATCGGCGGCAGCGGATCTTCAACCCCCGTCGGTGGCGCAGTTAGGTTCCCACTCCCTCGCCCTCCGACTCCGATCTCCGGCGGCGGCGGATCTTCAAGCCCCGGCGGCCTATGTCGCTGGCCGGCGCAGCCACTCCTCCCGCCCCGTCTCGCTGGCCGGCGCAGCCACTCCTCCCGCCCCGTCTCGCTGGCCGGCGCAGCCCCTCCACCCGCCCATCTCGCTGCCCGGCGCGGCCCCCATCCGGACCATCTTGCTGGCCGACGCTGCCCCTCGATCCCGCCCTTCTTCTTCCCCTTCTCTCTGACATCTTCTTCTTCGCCTTCCTCTTCCATGTTCTTCTTCCCCTTCTTTCTCTTCTTTTCCTTGCCCAGCCAGTCCCCTTCTAAGTTCCTCCTCTTCCCTTGTTCCTATTCTTCCTCTTTTCTCCATTTTCCAATTAATTTACTAACCATAGATTCATGCTTTGCAGGTCTCACAGGTCATGCTGATAAGGGGAACCCCGGGAGGCCGAGTTAAGGTACGAGCTGCTCATTGATTTAATGAAGGGAGCCATGCTAAATTGTCATAGATTAGATGATGCATGCTGATATATCATATATGGGGATAATTGACGATAACCCCCCTTGTTGGAAAATCCTTGATCATATACCCCCCGCCTCTGTCTCTGACGTGTAGGGTTTAAGTGGCCTAGGGGGGTTATCATTATATGCTCTATATTGTTGTGTGCTGGTCATGGGTGATTGATGAATGCTTATGTGATGTGATGGTGAAAAAAATGTGTGAACCTCAAATAGTGCTCTATGTTGTATTGAGAATTAAATTTAGCATAAAACTGACATGATGTGTATGCATTGTAGTTGCATCATATCTCAAGTGGATTTGGTCGCTTCTATTACCAAAGAAAACAAAAGAAGAAAAAGGAAATGATTATATTTCTCTTCAGTCACTTTCGTTTAATCTTGTCTACCTTTTTTATTATTTAGTTAGTTATGTGATTTTTTGGAAAAACATAACATGCTGGATGCAGTGGAGTGTCATTCTTTAGTTTCATCAGTCAGCTTTATTTGGTTCCTCGTTCTCATTCTTCAGTCATCTCCCTTGGTCAATGTGACTTGTCATTCTTCAGTCTTTCACCTGCTGATTTAGGATAATGTAGCTGATCAACTTGTTCCATTATCAGATCTGTTGCATATACTAATGCTACTGTATTTTATGATTTTGCTTCAGTCATAGTCCTATCAGGCCAGCAGCTCCAGCAGCAACTTTCCCGAGTTGCCAGGTCCACAACACTTGTAGAAGATATGCTCTCTGGTGCAGGTCTTCCTGCTCTTCTCCCCATTTCATTCTTTATGAAATTAGATGAGAATTACATCCACATACTTACATGGTCTTTATTACTTGTCATCTAGGATGAAGGCTAAATTTCTGTCCGGAATGTTGTATTCAACGTTTCGCCTGGGCCGTTCTTCTGTGCACCCCGGCTGCCATGGAAAATCTACAAGAAAATTTTCAGAGAAGGCATCTGGTCCAGTGACTCAAAGAATGTACGTACACTCAGCCACAAAATTATCTTTCAATTGTAGCTGATAGCTTCCATGTCACATATTGTGACAACATCATCGACTAAATCATTTCATTGTTGCACAAGGTCACCGCCCAGAAACTTATGTCACTCTCACTCCCAACAACACCGACCACCGCTGTCCCCTCCTACCCACAATCCTCCTTCCTTGCCCTCCTCCGATCCCTATCTCTGTTCCTCTACATGCCCAAGTAGCTATGCCCACAGCTACCTCTCCCATGCCCTTACATGTGAAGGCTATTGCACTGGCAGCTTTGCAGCAGCATCGCCGCAGAACGTGCTGCTGGGAAAAGGTACACTAAGCTGGTATAGACCATGCCAGTCAAAGTAGTATACATGGCACCACGTCAGCTAGAGTCAAGGGCGCACTTTGTCCAGTTTTAGCGTCAAGGAGTGAAATTTTGGACTTTGCGAAGAGTTGAACGAAAAATTGGCACCTGCGGCCTCAACACCCCATCTTCATGGGAACGCTGACTGACTCAGAGAATGGTGGGTCTGTGTAGCGTGTAGAAGCGTCCTAGAGGGGGATACAGCTGTGTGCAGCAAGTCAAATGCCATATAGAAGTTGAACAATGCATGTGTTGTTGCAATTTCGGAGTAAGCGGATTACTGCAAACCTTTGTGGTGTTAGTCTACACAGTCCATGTGTTACTTTGATTGGATTGTGAGTATTCGCGATGCACTGCGGACCTTTGTGTTGTTAGTATACACAGTACACGTGCTACTCTGTTTATCATTGGTATTTGCAGCATTACAATTAAGAAGACATGTTTGACTTTTTTTTTGACATGGAACACTCGTATTCCATTAATACACGGCTAAATCGCCGGTTACAGCACGGGTTACATCATCAGGATAGTTTGAAATCCAGTGACTCGAAGCACCAACCGGTGATCCCGCACCAAAAGCCGCCAACACATGTGCTGGCTTGTTACTTTCACGTGGTGTGTGCACTACAATAGACTGAAGAAATTGTGTGGCAAGCTTTAGCTTGATATCTTGAAACACCTGACCCAGAGGAGACATATCATAGGCATCCGATGACACGGCTTGCTGAAGAACGAGGCAATCAGTCTCAAAATGAACTCTTCCCACCCCCATTTGGTCAGCAAGGGCTATCGCGTTCAGCAAGGCCACTGTTTCTGCATGTAGAGCGCTCGATAAAAATTGAGATGAGCCAGCTGCAACAAAATTCGTATCACATGAAGCATCTCTGCAGACTAACCCCCAATCCCCATTGCCAGATTGATCTTTGTAGGCGCCATCAATGTTTATCTTCCAAGTTTGGTGCATGGTCATCTGATCGGCTGGCTCTTTATTTAAAAAATCCTTCCACTCATTTACATGTAAGCGTACAGAATATTGGATTTCCTCTATTGTTGCTCTGCGTTCACCATGGTTTCCACGATTTCTTTCATGCCACCAAGACCAAAGGAGAGCAACAGTGGGCATTCTCTGTACCTCAGGCAGTCGGGTAATAGCATGCACTACATCCTTTGCCGAGACAAGTTGTGCAAGATGCAATCTCACCTCCTCCAACTGCAGTGCTCGCCAGCATGGTTTCACCATTTTACAGTTCAGAAATAAATGCCCCCCATCTTCAAACAGCCGACCACAGACGGCACACCGCGTGTCAAGCTCAATACCCTTCCTACTAATGTTCATGTATAATGGGTGACTGTTATGAGCAAGTCTCCATAAGAAATGATGCACCTTTGGGGGACACTTTTGCTTCCATATTGACTTGAATAGCTCAGCATCCCGTTCATCATTAGATGAGCTTTCCCCCCTTTGCCTGTTAGACTCTCTCTTCAACATTGCCACATGCGCCTTATATGCAGACTTAACTGAGAAAATGCCTTTACTGTCGAGGTGCCAAGCTAAAAAATCTCTGGCCTGATCATTGACGGGGATGCTCAGAATGTATGGCACGTCATCTTGGTGAAAACAGTCTTCCACGAGAGCTTGATCCCAGGTTCCGGTGGAAGGATCAATTAATTCACAAACCCTGGTAAATAAACTTTGTCCACGAGGGTTAGAGGGCCGACGAGTCACTCCCCTTGGAATCCAAGGATCTTCCCAAATGTGGACATCTGTCCGTCCCCGATTCTCCAGATCATCCCCTCCTTAAGCAGATCAATGCATGTTTGACTTGATAGATGCTAGCTTGGCCGTATCTTGCTAGCTAGGAGGTGGTCAAGCACCATACATCATTACCTTAGCAAGCACAGTAATGGAAGATATCAGTACATTATTTCATAGATGTCATGCAGTGTTTCGTTTTGCTGTTTGCTCTTTCTTTTGCACTATACGTGATGCCTGATGCATTTGCATGATCAAACTGCATGTGTTCTCTATTGCTGTAGCTTTGGTGATGACATAGTTCTAACAAGATTTGTCTCTCCTGTGTTGCAGGCAATGTGCCAAGAAGTATGATCGCGCTGAGGATTTGGTGTGTCCAGTACAATACTTTAAAGAAGAGTTAGGGTTCCTAAAATCTCTGGATGAGAATGAACTTCTCGGAGCAGCTGAAAAGAAAGGCAGGTCTGAGGTCAGGATGGAGGTAGCGAGAGCAGCAAGATCGCTGCCTGAGCTCATCTTGAAGAGACATGCTATTGGAATAGCCTGTGGTGACAGCCTGAAGCTAAGCAATATCAGGATTTCGAGGTCTATTGGCAAGTTCGTATTTGTCGAACCCCCAAAACCTACGGATAGATGCCTTAGGCTCGTAGATGACTTCAGCCGTGGGGCAGATGTATTGGAGGAGCTAGCAAGCTCAGTTTTGGGCCCTGGTGCTCGGATGCCGAAGGTCTGGGATGATTTCCTTGACAAGTTAAGAGAGCAATGCCCAAGAGTGCACATCATAATGTATCACTCACTCTTCTTGTCATTGAATCTGAGGTATTGTCTAAGGGTCATTGTGGATCAGCGGTTCCGCAAGGACTTCGGTTCACTGAAGAAGGAGCAGAAGGATGCTATCCGGAAGTTCATTGAAAAACTTGGCATGACGCGCAAGGAGGATCTGCCCTCGCTCCTGCTCAGGAATGAGTTTCTGAAGTTTGTCTCGTTAAGGTCAAGAAAGGGCGCGCAGGGAAGACGCGGGAAATCAAATTCACAGCTGAGCACCCAGGAGGCAGTCTGGAGTGACAAAGGCCGATCCATCATAGCCTTCAACAGAGATGGCGTCGTCCATGGTTGCAAGGACGATCCGAATGACAAGGAGATAGCAGCTATGCCCAACATCCAGAAGCACTGGAGGACTCAGGAGAATGTCATCCAGTTACTGTGTGAGGAGTTTGAGCTTCTTGATCAGTCATACATCGAGCTGTGTGATGACGATGAGAAGATACTGTGGAAACTGGTGAGAATATGGGAGCTCTTTGGCGAGACTGAAGGCTATTGGCAGGCTGCCATTGCTGCATTACATGAAGAGTCAAAAGCTTCACTGGCGAACGGTTCAACCAAGTGTGAGGTGGAGTAGTTTCTTTATTCTGGTTCTGGTGTTGAGTGCCTTGTAAGTAGGCTCCGTGGCTTTTTGACCAGGATGCTGTGTGTTGATGCTGCTCTTTTGTCATGTGTGTAGGTGGCTCTTTGCATGTAAGAGTAACAGTTTACTCTCAGTTTAGGTTGTTCCCCGTAATGAGAATTTGCTAGTAGGTTTGGATCATTCTCCGAGTCCGAGCTGCCTCTGTTGAGTTGTATCCTGATGGTAATTTGGTGCAGTCTTGAACCTGTCGAGTTGTATCCTGATGGTAATTTGGTGCAGTCTTGAACCTGTCGTGTCGATGATGATATGTCTGACTACTCTGTTGAGTTGTGTTCTGAAGGTGATATTTTGGTGCACTGTTGCACGAAATAAGTTGCAATTTGTGGTCATTCGCAGTTTGGCTGGTTGTCTGCCTCCGTCCTAAAATGCAAGATATGTTTTTACACTGATAGTGTCAAAAAAAATATCTTTCATTTTGGGACGGAGGGAGTAGTAGAGTAAACTACGACTACTCATTTTACTTTATGATGAGAGTATAAGAAATGCACCTATGAGTTTCCGATATTTCAGCCTTGACATGAGTGATTGTAGTTTTGAGACCACTAGCTTATCAATGTAGACGAAAATATATCAGTTGGTGAATGAACGAACGCATATATAGGCGAACATCTCTCGCAGCACAGGCTTGTTTGCAAACTGACAAACAGATGTTCGTTGCTCTCTCACCACAATACAAGAGGACAGCAAGTGATTGCGTTAACCTGGAATCAACAATTTAAGTACTGGAAAATGGTTTCGTGCAGTCCGAAGGCACGGTGAGAGTGGAGAGATGAACGCGGCGATGAGCTCGACGAACGTGATGGAACGGGGCAGCTACGACTGACTGCGGGGGACAAGACAAAGTTATTTAGGTAAAAAATCATCACAGTTGAGACTAGGATAACAAATTGGTACTACATTTGTGCCAGTGTACAAGAACCACCAACTCTATGTCTAATCTATAACGCAGAGCAATGATTGTTGAATTTGCTCGTGAAAACAACGAAACTGACATCTTGGGCCCACCTGTCGGGTTGACATGGCAAAGACCAGGCACACAAAAAAACATTGATCAGCTGAGGTGGCAAATGAGACGCGGACCCCGCCCGCATATCAGTGACTACATGATCATCTTCTTCCCATCTCTCTTTCTATGAGACATTACATCGAGCAGCTTGTGGGCGGGCAAACTGCAGCGACCAGTGGCAGCAGCGATTCACCATGGTGGTGGGGGAGATGGGCGCAGTGAGTCCTCCAAGGCCGATGCCGTTCCCGTCTGCGTGGACGCCCGAGCCATCCTCGCTTGTTCGAGCCGAGAGCTCCATGGCCACCATGGCATGGCAGCCGAGCCGCCTCATCCTGTTGCCCGCACGCCTAGCAGCCGCGATCCGCACCACTCTCGCGAGATCCGGCACCATAGTCGTGCCCGCGCGTCTCACCGCCGTCGACCGCCAGCTCTGGCGGCCACACCAGTCACTCCAGAGAGCTCTCTCCTACAGCTCGCCGGCGCGGCACGGCAACACCACTTCCTCCCATGTCTACATCTGGCCAAGTGGCTAGCGCCTCCCGCCGGAGCGGCACGACACCACATCTGCCAAAGAAGGGGGAGGTAGTGGGACGAGCACAGCGAGAACCTCTTGCTCCCTCCTACAGCTCGCCGGCGAAGGACCTGGTCATCGGGCAAGGAGAGAGAGAGGATTTGGGGGAGAGAGAGACGGGGGAGGAGGAGAGTGGAACAGATGAGAGGTCGACGGGTGGGGCCTTTGGCCACCTCAGCAAGTTATCCATGTAGACATGCCATGTCATCTTGACTGGTGGTCTCCACCAGTCGGTTTCACTGTTTTCGCGAGTAAATGAGAGAATCGGTGCTTCGCGTTAATCGTTAGGCGCAAATTTGATGGTTCTTCGTGCCCTGGTTCATACGTGATACCAAGTTGTCCCAACCGTGATGGTTTTGGGTAAATGATTCGACGAGACAAGTAAACTGGATGTGCATGGTCACACACATCGGCCGAAATTATTAGACCATTATTTTAGTAAAGGTCCACCATAATACTTTTTATAAGAAAAGTCTAAAGTACCCTTATGTAACACCTTGATCTTTCCTTCGCAAGATTGGACTCCTGTCTTTTTCTTTCGGTTTTGTTGTATTTTCTCTTGATCTTGGGCGTAGGAAGATGGTTACATGGCAATGCCTTTCCTTCAAATCATAGATTCTTCTCATTCCATCCTTGCCACCAAAAAATGTATTCTTAGGGTTTGCCGCCAAAACCGTGCTTTCCGAAGTATCGGGAAGAAAACCCTAACTTCGAGAGTTATAAAGGAGCCCTAACTTCCTTTGATCCACTGCCTCCAAAAATTCTCCCAGAGACTCTCCTGCATCTATAAACCCTGGATATGCAAAAATATTGAAGTCATATGCAATATTTCTCATTTCAAATTAATTCCTTTTCCTGGCTGTGAAGGAATTAATTCCAGGAAAATATCTATCCATCTACAATTTTTTTGGAAACTTGTGGATATATTCCTTGTGTCTATCTTGATTTTCCTTTATAGAATCAATATTTCACTACTGTCTATTTCTAAAGGAGCTACCTTTTTAGTTGCTTTAAAATTTTTGAATTAATTTGTGGAGCTTCTCGTGGACCAACCTTCATCATTTTGATCAATATATCAAGATCCATAGTTGAAATTCTGAGCATAGCATCCATTCCCAATTTTTGAAGGAAGTGCTTGAACCCTTGATCCATTTGAGCTAATTTTGCACAGTGATTAACATTGACAGATCTCTCATGAAAACCAAAATCCAGCCCTATCCATCCAGCCAATCCTCCACAAATATTTGCCAAAGTTTCTGTACAGACTTAAACCTTGTGAAGGAAGTATCCTAAAGGCTTCCCATTTACCCTCAAAATTTACCGGGGGTTTATCTTGGTAAATGATTGCTATCCACCAAAAATGAGCTCATTACCTTAAGCCATTTATTCTCAGATAACTATCAAAGCAATTTGTCCAGATTGGACTTTTGTGAAGCAAGTATTATTTCCCCTTATCATTTTGTTGTAAACCATCACAGGGTGATGGACCTTTCTAAAGTATTTCTAGACACAAAAAATCACATATTTTCACCAAGCTAATCTTCCCCAGTACACCACAAACACATGATGTTCATCATCTAAGTCATCTCAAATCAGTCCATTCTTGACTCCACTGCCATCCAAGACATGACATATCAACTCATGGATTATTGAACGCACCATATAACGCAATGCACGTGGTGACCGTGCATGTGGCCTGCATTAATGGTGCTCTGCGCCGTGCCTCGCCTCGGCCGACAACTCCGGCCAGCCTCCTCTTGTCCCTGCGTGTCGAACACCTTCTCCATCAAACACCCCCCCTCCGGACCCCTCTCCCCCTCAGCCACTTCCTCGCCGCGCCCCGGCAAGATCCGCCGAAGCACTGTGCCCCCGTGATTTCCCTTGTCCACTTCCCTGTGGCCTCTCCTTCCCCCGTGTTGTCATGTCGCATTGATTGCATCTTCAGGTCGGCAGAGCGCGTCCAAATCCAGCTCACCGGAGCACTTGATCTCCGGCCAGCTCTTCCGCCATATTTGTCGTGTCCTCTTGGGGCGCCCCCTCCCCTCTATGTATAGGTGGAGAGGCGCGGGAAACAACCCCTCCAAGCCCTAGGGCGCAGCCAAGGGGGAGAGGACTTGGACTCCAAGTCCAATCCTATTCCTACTAGGAATCCCCCCTTTTTTTTCCTTCCCTAGCCACATGGGCTTTTGAGGACTTGGTGCGCCTAGCCCAATAAGGCCAGGGCACCTCCCTTCAGCCCATGCCATCCCTCGGGTCATGGTGGACCCACTTGTGGACTTCTATACCCCTCCGGAATCCTCTAGGACCTTCTAGAAGCTTCATGGTACAATACCGAAAAAACTGCACCTTTTTTCGGAACCCAAAATATGACTTCTCATATATAAATCTTTACCTCTCGACCATTCTGAGACTCCTCATGACGTCCGGGATCTCATCCGGGACTTCGAACAATATTCGGTTACCAATCATCAAATATCCCGATACTACTCTAGCGTCAACGAACGTTAAGTGTGTGACCCTGCGGGTCCGGGAATCATGTAGTGAGGGAGCTCTCTGTCGAGCCAAGAACTTCGGTTCCGAGGTAGTCTTCATCAAGAGTACCGTCCTTGGCATAGAAAACCAGTTCAGAGGCTACTGACAGTGTCCTGGATTAGGGGGTGCTAACCTAGTCGGCCCATGCTCCTTGGATTGGACCGATAGGCCCTCAGTCATACGCAAGAAGGACTCTGGAGGCCGTACGCAGGAGGCGTGATCGATACTACATCCATCAAAGACTTGTCGTATACTCGAAGATAACTCATGTCGCCTTGTGCCTAGATGCCGACCTTGTGACCCTAGATACCCTACATGCATGTATATAAGCCGTGGGGTTTAGCCCGTAGAGGGGACATTAACGCAATATCATTCACCTAGCCCTAGAGTTAGACCACATCTTACGATCCCGAGGTAGATCAACTATGTACTCGATACATCTCCATTAATATAAACAAGAGTAGGACATAGGGTTTTACCTCCATCAAGAGGGACCAAAACTGGGTAAAACATCGTCTCTCTGTTCCTATTACCATCTGTCCGAGATCGACATCTCGGGACCTCCTACCCCGAGGTCTGCTGGTTTTCACACCGACACCAGCCTTCTTATCTACAACATCTCATATGCTTCATGGTGCTCAAAACGTCTTTGGAGCCCCGGTTCTAAGCCGTAAAGCATGGCGTATTGAACTATTGTGTAGTCATCATTTCTTGTCTGCCAGACGTTCATAGTGTGTAGATTTGCGGGAGCGAGTGGCTCACCTAGCGGTGCATCAAAAACATAAGCCTTTTGTGCAGCAGTGAGGATAGTCCTCATATTACCGACCCAGTCTGCATAGTCTTTTAACCTTTTCTTTTTCTAGGAACGCATTAAAATTCAGACTAGCTACAGTGTGAGCCATTGATCTACAACATAAATTTTTAAAGAGATTTAGATTAAGTTCATGATAATTGGTTTAGTTAATCAAAATACTAGTGAACTGCCACTTAAATCAACATCCCTTAAGTTGTGTAAGTGTTACATGATCCAAATCAACTAACCCATATCCGATCACCATTTCAGATGGGGTGGTCATCAATGGTGAACATCTCCATATTGATCATATCTACTATATGACTCATGTTCGACCTTTCGGTCCTCCGTATTCTGAGGCCATGTCTGTATATTCTAGGCTCGTCAAGTTTAACCCAACTATTACGCATGTGTAAAACATGATTACATCCGTTGTATGTGAACGAAGAGTCTATCATACCTGATCATCACGAGGTGCTTCGAAATGACAAACTTTTGCAACGGTTCAGCTGGTTCCCGTGCTACTGCTAGCCATTTACCCCACGCTACTGCTAGCCATTTTCCTAGTAGTGTAGGGGTGCACATCTGACTAAACAATTTTTTCCCTGTTGTTCAGACTAACTGACTGAATGGGTTTAAAACATGTAAGCTTTTTTTGATGCAATCTCGTGAAACTCTTTATTAAATTCTGATAATGTTTATAGGGACGAACGTAAGATCACCAGGATGGCGCATCCATACATGACGGCCGGTTCCTAGTGTAAGAGCATGTTTCGCTAAATTGTGAGCCTCAATATTCGAGATTCCATACGCATAACTAAAAGAACAAGTACTACATCGGTCTCAAAGTTGGATTAAAATTAAGACATTTATTGTGTATTTTGAGACGGATGGCGTAATAGATAAACTAGAGTGGTGTAAAATTTCTAGAAGAATGGCACCATAAACCGCTGCACTCCCATGCACTCCTCCTATATACACTACTCGCAAAAGAAGAAAGAAGTATACAAATCACCCCAAAATCCAATCTTTGGGATTAGGGCTGGAATTCGAGCCGAGTCGAGCCAGCTCGGCTCAACTCGCTAGAGCTCGTTTCGTTAACGAGCTAGCTCGACTCGACTCGTTACTATAACGAGCTCAAACCCAAGATTGGCTCGACTCGTATAACTCGCGAGCTGGCTCGTTTAGCTTGTTAAGCTCGTTAAATATATAAACATAAAGCCCTCAAATATAATAAAAATGATTATGTATATATTAAACATATATATCACTAAACAATTGTAATTTCCTTGTAACGCATGAGTCTTTTAGGAGGCTAGGCCTTCAACGGGTAGGCCTTGGGTTGTGCGCTTGGGACCTAGGTTGTTTAGTGGCCGATCTTTCTTTGTATTGGGATTGGCTGATCTATTGTATCAAGTCTAACGAGTTACACGAGTACTCGTGAGATTGGCTTGTTTAACTTGGTTTGTAAACGATCTTAAACTAAAGCTCGGCTCGACTTGTTATTCTTCGAGTTCGAATCGATTCGAGCCGAGTCACGAGCTACTTGTTTAGCTCGCGAGCTTCGAGCTTTTTTTCCAGCCCTATTTGGGATACATACCCCCTTGAACTCAAAACCGGGACAAATCACACCCTCAAATTACTAAAACCGGGCAGTGGTTTCAATCAAATCTTGAGCTGTTTTTGTCTCCCCTGATGCCGATTAGATGCTAACAAGGAAAAAAACTTTGAATGGGGCCCATTAGCCAGTTGCCCCCTTGCTTCTCCTCTGTCCTCTATTCCCCTTTGTCTCTCACGCGGAGAAAATCCCCACCTCGCCTCCATCCCCATCATCGGCGCGGGCCTCTGGCTGGCGCACGTAGGAGCAGACGGCGTTGCGGAAGGCGCAGCAGCCGCAGGAGCAGACGGCGATGAGCAGCAGCAGCACGACGTTGACGATGGTGACGTTGTGCCACTGGCAGCGCAGCTGCTCCATCACGCCGGCCCTGCACGACTCGCAGCCGTAGCAGAGCACCGCCGGGTCGTTCTGCCACCGGAAGCAGTCCTCGTCCTGCACCGCCACCACCATCGGGCCCAGCCTCGTCACGCCGCCGCCGTAAACGCCGTAAACGCCGCCGCCGAGACAAAAACCGCTCAAGATTTGATTGAAACCACTGCCCGGTTTTAGTAATTTGAGGGTGTGATTTGTCCCGATTTTGAGTTGCCAAAGAAAGATTGGATTGGATTTTGGGGTGATTTGTATACTTGTTTCGCAAAAGAAACCCAAAAGAGGGAGTCCGTCCAGGGACCAGGGAAGACAAGGCTTTGCGTGGGCTGATGCTTGGTAATATGGCCCAGTCGGCCCATGGTTAATTATCATCATCCATATACAGAGTTACAGACGAGAAGAAAGGCGTGGCTTTCCTCGTTCCATCCCCCAATCTCGCCGCCGCCGCCGCCGCCGCCGCGCCTGCTTCGATTCGTCGAGTCCCGTTGCAGGTATTGCTTAATCTTTCCCGGTCGATTCTTGCAGATTGATGGATTTGTTGTTTGTAGATTGATTTTGCGTCCTTTTTGTCTAGTTGGTCCGGATCCGGAGGCGGAGCCGGAGCCGGAGAAGAAGATGAAGGCACGGCAGTTGGTGAACGTGGTGATGCGGAGGTACGGCATGGGCAGCAGCCACTATTCGGTGAGCCGCATCAAGCCCGAGGAGCAGCTCTTCTTCCCATCAACCAAGGAGGCGCGGGAAGCATCCAGCACGGGGACGGGGGAGATGGAGACCATCTCCAGGATGCCCGCCGCGCCCAGCCTGAGCCTCGTACGCTCGGCGGTTCTGGTGGAGAGGCTGGATTTCCTCCCTTTCTACGAGCGCAAGATCCTCTGCGTCGACGCCCAGGGCCGCACCGTCCTATACGACGCCGACGCCGACGCCGACGCCGGCCTCCTCCATCCGCTGCCCTCCCTCAGGGGTCCCAAGGGGCCCAACCCCATCTCCTTCTCCATCCTCGACAGGGAGCCTCTGGACCCGCGGCGGGCCGACGTCCTGTACGTCATGCCCAGGTGCCCTCGGCGCTACGACTACTACAGCTTCGAGGCCCTCATGTACAGCGACCCCTCCAACGGCAGGAAAGGCTGGCGGTGGCACCGCCTCCCGCCTCCGCCCGCCTCCGCCAACGGCTGCCACGCGCTCGTCGACAAGGACGGCGGCGGCGACCCCATCCTCGTCGTCTCCTCCGCCGACGGCACCCACTGCTTCCACACCTTCACCAACACCTGGTTCGAGGCTGGAGGCTGGAGGCTGCCGTTCGCAGGCCGTGCCCACCGTGTTGCTGAGCTCGACAACCTCTGGTTTGGCATCGCCCGCGCCTGGCCCTACGACCTTTGCGCCATGGACCTCTACCCCCTCTGCGGCGGCCTATGCCCCGAGGCCGAGGCTCCGCGGCTGGCCTACAGCTGGGGAGACCACCTTAGCCTGCCGGACGACTGGGAGATGATGGACTGCAGCATGGTGTACCTGGGCGGCGGCAGGTTCTGCGTCGCCAAAATCTTTGAATTCTGCCACGGCGATGATGACCGCAAGGGGATGGGTGTCATCTCTGGCTTGGAGGTGGTGCGCCAAGGGGAGCCATCCAAACTCGTCATGGTCAAGCACAAGTCCAAGCTCTACAAGTTTACCAGGGATGAGATCCAGTGTATCCTCTAGACTAGAGCAAATGAACAATGTTCATGCTAAGTAACTACTCCCGGAGGTAGATACATTCATTTCTACGACAAGTAATTCCGAACGGAGGGAGTAGCATGGGAGCAAACAATATCTGGACGAGTGCTATGTGTGTGTTGGCTAGTTTCTTGGACAGCAGCACTTGTGTGAATGCGAATGCGATTTGATTTTGGTTGTAGTAAATTTCCCCCTGCCTGGTACCGTTTGTTTGCTGTCACAAATCTAACTTGTTTTAAAATATTTATCTTAGTTTTAGCAGCTAATTACACATTTTGTATGTAGTGAGCAAAATATTAATCCCGGCCTGGGCCTGCCTGCACCAAGACTCTGTGTATACTATTTAAGCTTGTCTCTATCTATATGCACTTGACTTGAGTCATCAGGCTCCTTTGTATATTTATTAGTTGTGCCTCTACTTCTCTACAGATTTCTTGCAAACTGTGAAGATGGTCCTCTTTGCTCTGCTAATTTAAGTTCGTCATATATATATTAGAAATATCTGCTCCAAAAAAGTTGAATTCTCCAACAAAGGAGTCCAAATATCTGCTTCACACTTGTAACTGTTTTAAAAAAAAATCATCTTAGCTAATTATGTTGGCACATTTGTTATGCCTGGCCTGCATCCCTCAACATGTGTGGGGAACCTCGTCTTCAGTTCCTCGGTTGCTTGTCAGACCGAATAAGACTAAAAATACCAGCTACCAGTTCCTCGTCTTCAGTCAATGTTGACAATGGATATTAACTTAGATTTTCCCAAGATTTTGGCTGCTATTCCGAATTACTCTATTATTCCGAAGCCAATGAAAAGTAAGTAGAACCTACAATGGATACTCGGTTCCTCGGTTGTGGAGTACATACAATGAGTTCGGAAAATACACAATCCCAAAATTGACTCAAAACGCATACCAGCTACCTGGAAAATTCAAAAACTGAAAAGCACACCATACGTCCAAACACTCTTGACTTTCATTTCTCATCTGACTCCCAATTTGCATACTCAGTTCTTTTTTCCAGAACACCACCTCTCTTATTCGAACCTGTGGATTTTTCCTACTGCTCCAACTACAGGAAGGCGTTCGTCAATACCAAATTTGATAATTTCAGCAACTTACACACGTACTCTATGATGTAGGGCCTGTATTATTACAATTACTTCACTAGAACAACTTGTACAGAGTAACAGCAGCTGATCCGATGAGCTGGAATTCCCGCTTCAATTGGACTGGAAACAAAGTCATCTGAGATCTGCCCATCTATTTACACGATTCAAATCCTGCACAACCCAACTTACCCACCCAATCCATCTAAACAAAAAGCTCCAAAGGAAAAAAAAAACATCCATATCGAGCTCCTCACGCCTTCACACTCAGCGCCCCACCTTGATTCTGCTTTCAGTTTCTGCTTGAGGCCTACAGATCGATGCCTATAAAGATAAATCAACATTTCTGAATGTCAGCAAACGACAAGTAGTGCACCATAGTGACAGACAGAAACAAACATATCAAGAATAGCCATCCATACTTCGAATCCTAATATGGAAGTGCTCCATCGTTAGCGCTGCTAGGTCACTCAAACTAGCTCTGCGCCATCAAAAAATAATATGTGAAGTAGAAGTAGCAACTGGCATTAACTTGAGACAAGAAAGAGATTAATGGCGAATTGCACAACCAAGGGTCTTGGTGTGCTGCTTCTCATGCCATTGAAAAAAAAATATTTGTTACGATAAACTCTAGGCTTTTATGCAAACAGTACAAGTATGCCTAAACAAGCGTCTTTGCTGTGCTGCTTCTCATGCCATTGAATAAAACAGTTGTTACGGAACACTGTAGGCATCTGTACCAACATTAAAAGTATGTAATATGGTGGTGCCTTTATCAGGGAAAAAAATGTAACGTGCTGCCAAGCATTCATACATCAGAACCTAAAGCTGGCAGATGCATGGTAAACTTGGACAAGAAAAGAAAGTGATGAAAATATGAGAGATACTTACCCTCAAAACATGGTTGATTTGAGAACAAATAAACCTAGCCTTCAGCTCCTTAACTTTAGAGTAAGTCAGCCATACTATCATTGTTAACACGCCTGTTCCAGGAAGTTCATTGTGTTACTTACAGTTGAACATTGATAAAGCTGCCAGCTGCTAGAGGGACTCTTCAAAATAGCGCTGATATTCACACAACAGAATTTCCAAACATAAAGGTATTTGTTTATCTCTAATTTCATATTGACACTTGTGCTGTATTTATTTTCCTATCCTCTATATTGAGCTAATCCATGCTATCATGTTATTAGTGTGTGTTGGACTATCTACCTTGCATATACCACAGCAAGCAAAATAACAGGCTTTTAACGATGGAGGAACGTTCCCATTTAAAGACCTAACAAACATGCCCGAATGTCAGATGAGAAGAAAGCTGGCGCATCCCGACATCAAAAGAAAGCTGCAGCAGCTCGGGGTGTTAATGTCAATGAACCACCATCATCTTCTTTGCTAGGGTCTGTTGACCCTACCCCTTTATGTAACAAAACATATCAACAAATGGTAATTCGACACACATGTTTTTCATTTTACTCCTGTACTACGTAGCGTCCCTCGAATGCTCACATGTCTAACATGGTTGGCTATTGTGCACAGGTGATAACACAAGTGGGGCTGCAAACCCCACTCCTGTTGATGCACCGTTGCCACAAAATCGTAAAGGAAAGAGTGGTCAAGGATGGCATGCCCGGCTTTCTGACGAGAAGAAAGCAGCATGCCTGTAGAAGCTGCTAATATCCTGCCAACATTGCTGACAATGGGCCTTCAGGCTCCACTAGTCTCTCTAGGTCGCATGGGCAGGCATGAATTTAGGGGTTGGCATGTAAAAGTTAAAGATTACAGTCATATGAAGTTGGAACAGCAAACTGTATAATACATATAAGAAGGAACTGAGCACAATTAGTATACATGACATGCTGCTGTGAACTGCTGCAGTCTAAGAACATGGTTAGACAAAGAAGAAAACAGCTCATATGGTAGGAGCCACTAATATTGATCTAAAGGATAAACTGGATGCCTGCATAGCTGACACAGGACTTGTGTTTGATCATCTGTAGTTGGTCTGTTTCATCATGCACCACCTCCACACCGGTCATGACAGCAGCCTGATTGTCACTCTTGGTCCTGCCCTCGTCCCCAATGTCAAAAACTTTGTTGATGCAAAACCTGCCGGCTCCCAGGTAGAGCAGGCAGCCCCTTATTTGCACCCAGCCCTGAGGCGGGTCGAGGACTTGCCACTCACGTAGCATCCTGGGAGCCCCGGCGTCGAGGCTGGAGAGGTCCGACGCGCACAGGTTGTTGGGGCTGCTGTCAGCCATGCCGAACCAGAGGTTGCCAAGCTCAGGGACATGCTCGGCCCGGCCGTAGAAGGGCAGCGCCCAGCGGCCAGCCTTACTCCACTTGCGGCTAGCCGTGTCGAAGCAGTAGGTCCCGATGGGGCTGCGCCCGGAGGAGGATATGCAGATGGTGGAGCCTGCATTGAGCAGCGTGTAGGAGTGGATAGCGGTGCAGTCGTAGGCCGGGTCGTTGACATAGGGCGGCGGCGGGAGCCGGCTCCACTCCCAGCAGTTGTTCTCGCCGTAGGCGAGGGACTCGAAGCTGCACGAGCTGCGGCCGGTGGGGAACCTGTCCATGACGTACAGAGCCACGGCGGCGGGGGCGGGGGCGCCGACGCGAGCGATGGTGAACGAGATGGGGCTGTCCCCCTTGGGCTCGCCGAGGCTGGGGGCAGGCTGGACGCAGCCAGAGCTCGCGTCGCAGAGGATGGTGTGGCCTGCCGAGTCCACGGAGAGGATCTCGCTGCTGCTGCTGCTGTCGCCGCCGCGACCGTACAGGGGCAGGAAATCGAGCCGCATGTCGTCCAGGCGGTACGCCTCGAGCCTGAGATTGGGCTTGGGCATCCTCGACATGGCCGGAATCTTCTTCATGGGCGGCGCCGCGGTTCGCGCTTCCTCTACGGATGCGTAGAAGAGCTTCTTCTCGGGCTTGATGCGGCTCACCGAGTAGGTGGTGCCTGTGCGCATCACCACGTTCACCAACTGCCGCGCCGCCCTCATTTACCTGCCCTCTCACAGCAAAGATTCTTTCTGATACGAGGTTGTAACAAGATCTCTAGAGAGAAGGAGAAAAATCGAACAGGAAAGATTGAATTTTGGGAGCAGCAATACCTGCAGCAGGGGAGGACTCGACGAATCGAAACGAGCGCGGCTACTGCGACGGCGGCGGCGGCGGCGGCGGCGGAGAATTGGAATGAAACAACGATGGGATCTAGGTCTTGCCCCCCCCCTTTCACCTGATCATATTAAATGGATCAAACAGATGGGTAGACAATGGGCCGACTGGGCCGCATTACCACGAAAATTCATAGAACCAAGTAGCGATTTCCACTATTTTCATTTTCCCAGAATGTGTCCCAACTAACTTCAAAAAAAAAAAGAATGTGTCCCAACTTTTTGCCTAATTTTTCCCAGAGATGATTGATTCAACCTCTGATAAAAAAGATATATACCTTAGTTCTATGTCATCTCTTCAACAAGTTTAGTAATAAGCATAATGACCATGTTGTTCCGATTGAGAGAAGAACCTATAACTAGCTTTTCGGGAAATTTCCAAACAAACTATTTCAATGAAATCTTTAATTTCAATTTATTATGTTCAACTTTATGCATTCCTCTATCATAGTACATTGAATATACAGAAATGGCTATAGCAGAGTTTCTGTTATTCGTATTAACAACCACTCCAGGGAGAATGTTTTTTATGTGGTGCTAATGATTTAATAACTATCTTTGTAGCTCCAAAATGTTTCAGTTTATATTCCTACCTATTGTATGGATATACCAAAAAAGATCTATGGTCTAATGAGGCTACTATGAAATTGTGAGCGGTCTTATCAATACAAAAATGTATAACTCCCCGGAATTTCAATTGTGCTTATATCCAT